GGTGGATGGATGGGTGGATGGGTGGATGGGTAAGTGGATGGATGAAATGAGCTGCCTTGGACCAGAAGGGCCAAAGTGCTCAGACCTGAAGGATGGAGCTTAGCTAAGGTGAAACCCATGATAAACTAGGTGAGTAGAGAAAATCAGCCTTTCCAGGGACCACCTAACGAGGAAGTTAGGAAAGAGAGGCTGCAATCTACAACAGTCAGAGGCATTGACATGGTGTTTGCCTGCCACTTCACACCCCTGTCTGATTCCCCTAGAGAAGAGCACTAATTGACTAATCTATAGTCATTATGAACATGCACCCACAGACATTTTTAAGTCAGCCTGCATTAGTTCTGCTTTTAATAGGGCATCAAACTAGCAGTTTCTGATGGGATTTCTTTCAACTTCTTCCTACAATCAATCATCCTGAACACAGAATAAGAATTAGAAGGGCAGTAAACATTTTGGGGCCCCGACATTTTTGAGCCAGTTGTTACAATAAAGGCATGGTCAATTCTTATCTGAGGCTCACAACTCTGCAAGAGTGATACTATAATATTAAAATCACCAGTTTACAGAAGAGAAATCAAGAGGCTCAGTCTCAGAGAGGAAAAAAAAACTCACAGAATCATCACTTATGCCAGGATTTATGTTCAGCCCAGTTGCAAAATCTGGCCAGAGGGAGTCTGAGTGCATAACTCAGAGGACAGGGCTGAAGATCATCTTCTCGGCCTGGCCTTGCTGTGCCTCTGCTGGTAGAGTGAGCCCACCCACCTGGGTGGGGAGGAAGGCCCTGCGCCCACCATCCCGGATCCTCTAGGATAAAAACACAAGATCCATTTGAAGCAGGAAGCTACACAGCTCTTTCATTTTAATATCAGCATAACTTCGGGTGGCAACCTCACTGCTGCTTCCTGCCTTCCTCCTCCATCAGCGGTCCTTGCACTCTAAGGAGTAAAGGCATCAAGACAGCAGACTCTGACTCAGTGCTTCCAGCTGTAAAATGGGAACACAAACACCTACTTCCAGGGTCTTTTTGAGCACTCCTAGGCTTCGTATAGGTAAAGTACTTTGCACAGTATAGACCACATTGTAGACTGAAATGAGGTGAGCTATTCCCATTGTTACTGTTCATCTTACTATTTTGTAGCTTTTTAGAGACTGTAGATCTCAGAAGACACGGAAGTCATAAGTCAAGACACCTGCCAGTCGCATGACAAGTCCTGGCAGACATGGCTGCATGGTCTAAGCACATGGGGCAGAAACAGAGGCTGGAAGGTCCTGGGAACAGTGCACGCTGCAGATGGTAGTTGTCCACACAATGTGCATGCTCGGCGAGCCTGAGCCCAACGTGGGGCTGTGAAAAGGAACATCTGGGGTGTAGTCACCCGGGGGGCTCCACTAGACCTATCCCCTAAGATGTTGTGGACTAAAGGCCAGAATCTGCCATCTTGGCTACCCAGTCAACCTTGGTCAAGCTATTCACTTCCCCAGTTCTCAGTGTCCTCATCCACAAATTCACTACAGTAGGTAATGCTCACCTGGTAGGATGGGTTGCAGCATAAAACGAGCTCAGGTACATAAAGCACTTAGCATATTGACTGCCACATACTGATCCTCGATCAACAACAGATACCGTTGCTATTTCTGTTGTGTTTATTCATATCCCTAGTATAGAAGACGCTTGGGTTTGAGAAGCTCAAATTACATATAATTTATAAATTGGCAAATGTTAGAGAGACCACATGTGGAAACACAGAACATGCATCTTGTCTCTGGTCAACATGGGGTCTAGAGAGCCCCTTCCTCATCTGAGAACGAGTCAACAGGAAAAGCAGCTGATTGAAAGAACAGCACCACAGAAGAAGGGAGGGGGAGAACATTAGCTTTAATAGTCCATGAAAACACAGAACACAGAGAACGATTTAGTGCTGAATTATTAATTTTTTAAAAAGGAAAATTATCTGGCATTATTGAGCATCTTCCGCAGAGGCCAGCCAGAAGTCATGAGTCGTGACAAGGTCAAAGTCAAATGACAATGAAGTGAAGAAAAAGATGAGTGTTGTGAGAGAGAAGGAAAATCAGTGCATTAAAAATTGCAAGTAGTGATGTGAAGAGCAAACTCCACTAGGTCTTTTGGAATTTAGACAAAAAGACAATGAATGTTAAATAATTGGAGAGAAGATGAGAGAAGGTAGTGAAAAACAGGAAAAATGTCAAACTTCTCGAGTTAAAAGTGGTCATGTGTAAGAACAGAAGTGCCAGCTGGTTTTGGAAAAGACAGGGGCATTCCAGTCAGAAAATCTGATTCTCTCTAGGGAGAAAAAAAAACAAAAACAAAGAAAAGATAAACAAATACTAGCCAAAATGATGAATTATAAGAAGGGAAAAAAAAAGAGTCCTGCAAGTTTCTAGGTGTACAATGTAGACCACTTAAGAAGGAATAAAACTCAGGATAGATTCTACCTTTTTTGAGATTGGAGGACAAAGATCATGAAGCATCCTCTACAGAGATTCAGGGAGAAAATTTTGTGAGCCAAGAGTGTTATACCCAGCAAAATTGTGTTTCATGTGTGAATGAAATAGAAAGTCCCTTATTCCCAGCTAGATAAGAGGTCAGGACACATGTCAATGCAAACTTGTCTCTAAAAATTTAGTTGAATATGTATACACACCCATGCAGATCAATCAAAATTAGGAACCAAATGTTGGTATTTAAGAATTGCCAATGAGCATTAGAGCTGGTAAAACTTAAACTTAGCTGCAAGTTGCTTTTGAATTTTGGTCAAAGATCTATTAAGACTGCATAAGATGAACACCTCTTACTGCTAAATACTATGTTAATGGAGGCACTTTTTCAAAAACCCAATTTGGCAATTTATATCACAAGCCCCAAAATATTTATATGCATGGACTCAATTAGTCCAATCTAAAACTTTCTTCTAAAGGAATAACCAACACCCTTCAAAGAGTTAGGCTACAGTGTATTTATTTTCTCTTTGTCAATAATATTAAAACAGTAAATATTGTCTAAAAATGTCTAACAAAATAAGAATGATTTAATGAATTATATGGCCATACACTGAAACTTTAAGTTTCTTTTAAAAAATACTTAAAGGAATATGCACACAATATAATGCTAAGTAGAAAATAAGTAAGGAATAAAACTGTATAAAAATTATTATTTTAATTTTTAAAATATACTTATAACTATATTATTGACTGGTTAGTAAATATTCAGATAAGTGCAGAGAAAAAAAATTGAAAAATAATTAACAAATAACCTGTCTCGTGGAATAGAGCTTTTTTTCTATACATGTCCATTTAAAAATTTTCTACAGCAAATTAGAGTGTGTAGAAATTTTCTAAATTTCTACAATGAAATTCTAAGGTAGATTATGTTTTAAGCTAGATTTTGTATTAACCTAGATATGGGGAGCACAGAGATGAAATTCCTATGATGCTACCTAGAAACCACAGAAAGTAAAAGAAAAAAAATAAAGAAAACAAATAAAGAAGAAAATAGCTTTTAAAGACAAAAGAGTACAGTTCTATAGGGGAATGGAGAGCCAGGGAAAGTCTACTCAACCTCTTCCCTGCACTCATCCCAGCATCCATCCTTCCACCCATCCATCATGCGTCCTCTCGGGCCTGTGGGTCCCTCACTCCTGCCAGATTCCAAGCTAGGCATTGGGAACACCAAGGTGAAAATTCCATAGATGGCTTTGGCCTTCATGGAATTTACACACACGAAGTCTGTCCTACACCAGGCATGAAGGAAAATAAATGCAAATGAGATCAGCGATGGTCATGGAGAGAATGAAGGGCTGAGCCCCTGAGCTTGTGGGGAAAGGTGGAGGGGGCATGCCTGGACCTGAGGAAGTGCCCTGGGACACAGCAAGAGTGAGTCCCAGCCACCTCCTTGCCGGGCCTTGGGCATGCAGGTGGCATGGTCTGCTTCTTGAAGCATTTTCAGGTCTAATGCTGCACTGGTTCCTCTTTTCAACATGAGGCCAGGGGTGTGCGTTGGGAGGTTATAGAAAGTGAGGCAGAGGTCTAGCCACTGCAGATGTGAAAACCAACGGCAAAGAGTTTAATTTTTCCCTTTGTACATTCAACACAGGTCTAGAGGGCAGGTGGAGCTAGAAACCGGGTCTCAATCTTGTGCTCCTGCCCACTCTTCCCTGCAACATCCTCCTCCCACGCCCTCCCCGAAGATCCAACTCAAGGGTCTCTTCCCACCTTCCTCACGCACGGTGGTCATTACCCCTCTGGCTGTCAGGGTGCTGACCGCTAGTCGTGCACTCTAGACATTCCACTGTGTTCTCTTTGGTTCAACAGCTACTTGGGGAGGAAGCACTTATAACTAGCGAGATCCCTGGGTCAGGCAGTGGATCTTTTCCCATTTGTTTTCATTTTGTTAATTCTCATTGCCATGTGTCTCGCCACTGTAAAGATCCCAATAAATAGGCCTGAGTTCGGTTGGATCCACTGCACTTAGTGAGGTGATAACACCCATGTGACTATGCAGCCTGTACCTAAATCATTCCTCACTACACACGGCAACTTCCGCCTTCTCTTCCTCACAGGTAAGCTGAGCTCAAAGGTGCATCCAGTTTCCTTAACTGTTTGCTTTCAAAAATAATCCTCTACCTACCTGGTCCTTCTTCTAGAACCTTCTTGGTCCCTAGATACCTCTGCCTGTCTGATCCTTCTTCTAGAACCTTCTTGGTCCCTAGGTACCTCTACCTGCCTGATCCCTCTTCTAGAACCTTCTTGGTCCCTAGATACCTCTACCTGCCTGGTCCTTCTTCTAGAATCTTCTTGGGTTGCTAGATAAAAAAGCACTTCCCAAGATGGGTGGGGCCAAGAATGAATGTTTGTTACATGCCCACTGAATGCTAAGCCAGGCTCTGATTGGGGAAAAAAAAATATATATATATATATTCTTTATTTAAGAACCAAAAAAAAAAAAGAAAGACCAAGAGACTTGAAATAGTCCATCCTATGTCACACACTAATGAAAGGAAGCAAAACTGGGATTAGAAGCCAGGGCCGCCTGTCTGCAAAGCGGGTGTTCTTTCGCTTGCATGAGAACTTCCCCAAGAAGAGGCAGCCCTCGTTCCACACTGCATGGCTCATTCTGTAGCTCATAAAACACTAAGGTGGAGAGAAAGCACAGGAGAGGAGAGAAAGGACTTTAATAACACATGCACTCCTCCCTCCCGGGCACCCGCACCCGCCACCAACCAGGCAGGGCCAGGATGGGAGGGCTCTGCCCCCCAGCCACAGGAAGGGGCACCTGTCTGCACACACCCTCTTCATTTTCTTCTTTTGGTTGCATTTCTCTTGCCAGGGCCCTCCCTGAGAGCAGAGGGAGGTGGGGGCACCGAGAAAGGCCAATGTGGAGCCTGAGCGAGTCCTTCCCACCAGACACCTGTGACCCTCTCAACCTCCTCCTGGGGACAGCTGCCTTAGACCTCAACTTGCACAGGGCCTTGTTTTTTTTTTTCTTCCTGAAATTACCTTAAACAAAGACCTGGAAATGTGGGTCAACAAAATCCAAACATTTACCTCTTTCATGAAGTTGTCTAAGGAGGCTCCAGCCCTTCTGTTAGAACAACACCAGCAAGTGCCTGCAAATGTAACCCAGTCTTGTCTGGATGCAGCTCATCTCTGAGACCCTTGGCCCCAGATGAGATTGGAATGCTTCGCCGGGCTTGTCAGGCCCAGTGTGATCTCGCCTCACAGATCTGCAGTCTTGGTGCCTTTCACCCTAGTTGAGCCCTTAGTTCACTATCCTCCCTTCTTTCCTCCCTCCCTCCCTCCCTTCCTCCTTCCTGTCTTCTTCATTCCTTTCTTCCTCCCTCCCTCCCTATGTCCCTCTCTCCCTCTTTCCTTCCTTTCATCTCTCCTTCCTTCCCAACAAATAGTGAGCCTCTATTCACTCCTAGGGCTGTGGCGACACTTGCCAAGGTAAATAGACATTTCGTCTACTCCACCCCCTCGTGCTCCAGTCCGCTCCACACAGTGTCCACACCTACCCCACCCGGATAACATCTTCTCATCCTTTAAATTGAAAATCAACTATATGAGTGTTTTCGTTTGGGGTGTTATTTTTCTTTTTGTCTTTTTGTTTGTTCTGCTTTTGTTTTAGAATCTTTCCCTATGCCCCACGTTCTCTCCTCGAGGAGTCGGGGGTTAGATCCCCCCATCTTCTGCCTTTCTTACCCTTCCCATCACACTCTTCGCCCTCCATGTGCCCATCTGCTACATACCTGGTCCTCGATTAATCCACAGCTGCTTAAAGGCAAGGATGCTCCGAGCCCTTCATGTCTACACTCTCTGCAGCCAGCTCTCTCCACACTCCTCTGTCCTTTCCAAGACTCCCAGACTCAGAGAAAATAGAAGTCATCATAAGATAAAAAGACCCTCAACTTCCGGCTTCCAAACCCACACACACCTGTGTATGACCCATGTTTTCTCCTGAGCCCCAGATCAGTACACCCAGCTGTCTTCCCAGAACCTCCACGGGGACAGCAATCGGGCAACTCAAACTCACAAACTCGTCAATCTTCCTTTTCAAGCCGTCTTCCCTGGTGTTCTGCAGGTCCCACAAAACACTCACCCAAGCTGGAGCACAGGAGCCAACCCTGAGGCTCCCTCTCTCCTCACACCACACATCCAGATAGCCGCAGGGTAACGCTGGTTCCAGCACCTGCACTTCTGCATGTCCTCTTCTGCCTCTCCAGGGCCACTGCTGCCGCCAGGACTTCTGCAACAGCCCCCTGCCTGTGCCTCTGCCCAGCATTGTCTCCCGCCAATCCGTTTCTCCATCACAGCCAGAGAAATCTCCTTAGAACACAACCCAGATGACGCCGCTCGCTAGCTGAAAACCCACAAACGCCTTCCCACCTCCCCGACAATAAAGTCTAAGTTCCTTTGTGGGGCCTACGAGGCCGCTGGGATCCCAGCCCTGCCTTCCTTCCCTTCTTGTCCCCAGTCACGCCTCCACTCACATGCCTCACCACTACACGTGCCACACGGAACCTGCAATTAGCGAAACTCACCTTGCTCTCTGTGGCCTCCAGGCTTCATGGAAGTGGCTTTCTCTGCCTGGAACCTCCTTCCCCCTTCCCGCCTTCACCTGGGTGGGTCTGAATGTCCCCTCATTATCACATAGCAGTCAAACTTGCCAGGCACTGCAGTGACAGGGATGCCTCTGCACATCCCCAGGGCCCCATGCCATGCAGTGGCCTGTGCCATGCAGTGGCCTCCCCGGGCCCACGGTGGCCCAGATGTCCCCCAGGATGCCCAGCAGGACGCCCTGCTGCCGCTCGTTACCACCGCCCCGGTAAACAACAGCAGCCCGACACCAGTCTGCAAAACCAACACATGCATATTTGATCTGTATAAACAGTGCATATAATATGACATTTCCTTTCAAAACTCCCTCACCGCTCGGAAATTCAAATGAGAGCCTGCAGTACCCTTGGACTGGAGACTAATGAGGGCATCATAAATATTTGATTAAAGCCAAACCAAATTCTTGGGTTTTTGCCTCACAAAACTTTCAGGAGTAACTGCTCAAAGATTTCTTGAATATCTTAAGTACTTTTGGAGAACAGTGAAAGGTGTCTTCCTTCTCATGAAATTTTCCAAATGCTTCTGCTGTTGCACAGGCTGGCAGCTGCGATTTCTCTTGAATACGGATGGGCATTTGGATCTTAGCTTTAAAATCACCTCCCACTTTGGACTCCTGGTCAGTGAGCTTGTGTTTGCCATTAAAAGACGGTGAGACGGTGAAGGAATATCAGAAAACCCCGTTCTTAAACCAGGCTGGCCCAATTTCTGGCTCTGTCAACTGGCTCAGCCAATGTCTGGCTCTGAAGAGGTGCTGAGTGTCCCTTGGCATCAACATTTTCCTCTGTAAATGATGAGAAAATAAATGGTTGGCAAAATGAGAACAGCTTTTGCATACAAGAGATTGGGAAAGAAACTGTAGTGGATTGAGAAGACCAGTTAACATGCCATACTCAACTACCTGGTCACTTCCGGGAACTCTTGCTGGGACTCTGCAAAAAATACCATTGACCAGATATTACAGTATAGAAGAACCCACTCGGAAAGACATCTCTATCCAAAGATTTAATTATGCTTATAACTTTGGTCCTACAGATCATACTTTTTTATAGGAATGAAATAATGCAAAATATGAAGAAAATAATTATTTGGAAGATTTTTTTTCTACAATGTACTCAAATAATAAAAGTAGTAGAAGCAATCTAAACAGCAAATAATAAGGTAAAATAAACTATGATATATTCCCCAACAGATGTTTGTGAAGAAAAATAAAATCATGTGACAATATCATTAATACCATGGTCACACATTTAATATAATATTAAGTGAATATGGAGTATGCAGTCAAGTAGATAAAAAAAAAAAGCCTATATGAAAAAATTAAAACATCAAACTCTCAATAAGCCAAAAGAAATTACTGAACATTTATCTAATCCATTTCCTACAGATCCCTCAGATTAAAAACAAAAGAGAAATAGTCAAAAAATTTCAAAATCAATTTTATCTCATAAAATATTTAAAACTCTGAAGTAAAATGTACCATAAAGGAAATTAAAGCTCAAAGAAAATGACATTACTTTAACAGCTATGACAAACATATCACTACTTTTATTTAAAAAAACTCATACAAATTAAAAACAGATAGATCTATCTATTAGATAAGTGAGTGAAAAATATGGGCAGATAACTCACTCACACAAAAGAACAAAGCATTTAAAAAATCCAAGCCCACAAGGAAATAAATAACTAAAATAATATTCACTGTGATATTTGTCAAATGATCAAGAGTTGTTTTTCTTTTTCTTTTTTTAATGTAACTGGTAAATGTGGGGAGAGAGAAGTTGTAAATAGAGGGCATTCTGGTACATTTTTGAAAGTAATGTAAAGAAAAATATATAAATAGTAGTTTCTCTAAATATAAATCAGAAGGCCTAAAATTGTTCATGTCCTTACCCAGCAACTTTATTTATAGATGTCTGCTTCAAAGAAATAGCCACATATATGGATAAAACTTTATACTCTAAGATTTATGACAGAATTATTTAAAATACCAAATTTGAAACAATATAGTATTACAAAAATAACTAAACATGGAAGGAGAATAATCCATTTAAAATTATATAGTAAATGTGCTTCTGATCTATACTATATCTGAAACAAAGAAAATGAGAAATGAAAGAAACAAATAAAAAGCAGGAACAATGTTTTAAAGGGAAAACCAGACTAGCATAGGTGAGGGTATTGAGAGAGGATACCCACCCCACAAAGCCAGGAGACCACATATTCTTCGAAAATAAGATGATGGTACAGTCTCCATGGACAACAAATCAGCATTCAGATTTTTCCCCCCACCCTCAAGCTTCTCTCCAGTCTACCTCCCTCTCCTGGGCTTTCTCATATATTCCAGCAGCATGTAGCTCATTTAGAAGGAACTTCCCCATTCAAAGATGAGGGGAAACCAAAGATAAAGAGCCAACAAGGGACTCCTGCAAAATCCCAGGTTGGGGGTGGGGGAAACATGGCAAAGCAAAAGTAGACAATGAACATATTTCAGAAAAAGTTTCACACTCAGTAAAGCACCAGTGCACCCTAACATTGTCTCATTAAAAGAGATAATGACCTCTCTGAAATAAAAGTTCAAAGCAGACATAGAAGAACAAAATTTTGAAAAAAGGACCACAAAATAAAATTTAAAAAATAAATTGACAAAGTTCAAGACAAATTAGAAGAGAAAAATAAAAACAAAATCATCAAAAAGTAAAAATTATTTCAGACGTAATAAGTAGAAAATAGTCTCTGCCACAACAATGATCAAGGGCATGGAGGATGGGCTTAAGGAAACAGACAAAATAAAATAGAAAAAAATAACAGAAGGTTAAAAATTATGGAAGAGAAAATGATGGATATGAAAAAATGGAGGTTGAATATGTGTGAAATTGGTGAGTGAATTAATACACAGAATAAATAGACCATTAAAATTTATGTAAAATGTATGATAAATAAAATATTGAAATAAAAATTTGAATGTACATATTGAAACGACCAATTCCCAGACAAATTGACCCAGATCCATGAGCAGAGAGATACACTTTAAACATTTGTACCTCAAAAATACAGAAAAATTTCTGTAACTGGGGAAAAATCCCAACTCATCTAAGGTAAAAAAAAAAAAAAATGAGTCTTCCTATATACTTTGCCCTGAAACATTCAGGGCTAGAAAATAATGGAATGATGTCTTCAGAGTCCTCAGGAAAAGTATGAGTCAATAATTTTATACCCAGCCAAAATATCCTTTTAGAATAAAGCAACAGATAGTTATTTTTAAACATAAGAACTCTGGAAAGAGATTCCATAATCTTTTCTTAAAGGAACTAGTAAAGTCACCCTGTCACCAATCCAGGAATAAAGGGAGAAAATACTATGTACGAATTGATTATAGTTATTAAGTTAATTTAAATTACTTAATTTAAACAAATATTACAAAGTTGTGGAGAAAGTTTGCTATTAAATAGAATGTATATTGTCTCAGCCATGACATTTAAACTCTCAAAAATTGGATGAAAAAATAAAAAGGGGAAAGAGATTGTATGAATGCTGATCTCATCTTCTTTTATCATGAGAGTTGGAAAATTGCTGTATATAATTTTTAAAGCTGATACAGAAAAAGATATATAAATGATATTAAAAGTATGAAGCATTCACTCGAAAAAAAAAGTAATAAAGTAATTAAGCAAAATCTAATGGCCTGGGGAAAATGGAGAGGGAGAGAGACCAGGTGGGAGGAAGGCAAGAACATGATAGTATGTGGATTTCAGAGTGGAGAGTAAATAGGTACATACTGTCCATGAAGTAAGGATGTGTGTATTGTATTCTATACATTTATAGCTACACATGTAACTACTAGAAGAAGTGAAAACATAATAGACCTTCCAAATAATTAGAAGAAAACGCAATCACATACACGGCAGCACATACATTCCAAAGCAGAACTAACCTAAAATGTCAGTCAAGGATAAATTCAAGGCACAGAGTTTTAAGGGAGATAATGTTAAGATAATTTTTAATGAGTAAAGAAGCCACAGCAGAGATGTGTCAGTCTTGAACATGTACATGACAATTAAGACAACAGCAAAATTAATGATCAAAGATGTAGTAAATACAAAAAGAAATATTAAAAAAAGCAAAAAGTGTTAGGAGATTTCAATTCTTCTCTCTCAGCCCATAAGAGTAAAAACTTAAATGAAATAAAGTAAAATAAAATGAAAGTAAGAATCTACAATGATTTCAAAATTAAAAGGTTTTAAAAACTTAAAAAAAAAAGTCAGGATATAGACAACCTATATAACCTGAGACACTAATTTCAGGATATTTAATGTATTATATATAAAGTAACACAATATATAGGATTGATTTGTATGTCTATATAACAGTCAGGGTTCAAAGTCACAACAAAAGCTGCCTCTGGCTGAATAAACACAAAAAGAAGTTTGTCCAGTGGTCAATTCACAGAACTGTGAGCAAGTTTGGGGGCCCACTCTAGCTGATATGCTTATAGAAAAAAATCTTCAAAATGATCATTATGAAGTTGATTGAAGAGGAAATTCTATAAGCAGAAAAGCCCTTTCTGTCCCAGAAACTTGATCCTACCTCACCTATTAGATTTAAACCCCTCAAATGGCTAAATTTTGCATCTGTCTGTCTTCAAATTTCTTTGACTCAAATGTTAACTTTCAAAAGAGTGATCTGATTGGTAGAGACTGACCCAGATGCCTGAGTTTTAGCTGCAAAGTGTAGTGCAAAGTGTAGAATGTCTTTACAATATAAAATTATGAACACTGACCAGTATTAATATAACACTGACATATAAACACTGACCAGTATTCTATTATTAAAGCCACATTCAGAACAAAAATGCCTTAAAACAATATTAAGATGTTTATTTCATTGAGAATATAAATGAATATATTACTAGAAATATAAATTAATGTAAGTAAATAAAACTATAGGAAAAAATTCAACTAAGAAGTGAGAAAAAAGATCAATGTAAGAAATCTAAAAGAAGTAGATGCAGACAAAAGAAGCGCAAATGATAAAAACAAGAAGCAATTAATTCTTTTTTTTTTTTTTTTTTTTTGAAGACAGGGTCTCCCTCTGTTGCCCCAGCTAGAGTGCAGTGGCATCATCATAGCTCACTGCAACTTCAAACTCCTGGGCTCAAGTGATCCTCCTGCCTCAGCCTCCCCAGTAGCTGGGACTACAGGCATGCGCCACCACATCCAGCTAATTTTTCCATTTTTTGTAGAGATGGAGTTTCTTTATGTTGCTCAAGTTGGTCGTGAATTCCTGATCTCAAGTGATCCTCCCACCTTGCCTCCCAAAGTGCTAGGATTACAGGTGTGAGCCACCACATCCAGCCAGAAAGCAATAAATTTGCAAACACGATATGGTAGGAAGAATAAATACATCCAACAGCATGTTTAACAACAACAACAAAGAAGAAAAAAGAAGAAAAACTTAGATAAGACAACCAAGGACACAAATCTTTGGAAGTACAAATACCTAAAAAGATAATAATAATATTAATAAATATCAAAAAAATAACTAGAAAAACAATGAAAATGAAAGAAAAGTAAGAAAATTTGCTTAATGCTATGTAAATAAACTTGAAAATCTTGATGAAACAGATAATTTTCTAAGAAACCATAAATGAGCAAACAGATCTCAGGATAGACTCTCTGAATGGAAATAATGCCATAGAAGAAACTGAGGACTTTTGAAAAAGCTGTTCTTCCCCAAATCCCCGGCTGAGATGATTCCACAGATCAAATGCTCCAAATCTTTAAG